TGCATGTTTGGGCATTGACCCAGGGCCAAATCTGTGGGAGACTCCTCCACGCACATGCCAGGTCCCCAGGTGACAACTGCAGTCTCTGGATCTGAGGTCATCCACTTTCCCATTCCTAGCTCACCTCACCCATTGTGAAGCCTGGTTAGTATTGCCAGAGACCCGAGTGGGCAGATGCCCGCACCAAAGACAGAACCTGCCATGTGCCCACCTTGCTGATCCCTCCATCCTTCTAGACAAAGGCTTTGTGAGCCAGGGACCTTGGGTTTGCTCACAAGGCAGCCCCTCACCTAGTAGGCATTAGTTCATTATGTATATGTATATGTATATGTATATGTAGTCCTCAGGTTGTATTCCTTAAATATATATAATATATATAATTCCTTAAATATATAATTTTAGTACAAAATTTTTTAAAGATTCCTTTAATAAACATATACAATAACATCAAGAAGTATCAACTACATAACAAAGATGTGAAAGTCAGCCAGGCTCGCAATAGCATCAAGAAATATAAACTACATAGAAAAGATGTGAAAGCCAGCCAGGTTCGGCTTCAAATCCCAGCACTTTGGAAGGCTGTGGCAGGAGGGTCGCTTGAGCTCAGAGGCTTGAAACTAGCCTAGGCAACATAGTGAGACCTCATCTCTACTGAAAATCAGAAAAATTATCCAGGTGTGGTGGTGTGAGCCTGTAGTCCTAGGTACTCAGTGGATGAGGCCCTAGGATGTCATAGATCTGAGAATTTCATGCTGCAGTGAGCTGTGTTCGTGCCACTGTACTCCAGGCTGAGTGAAAGAGTGAGATTGTGTCTAGAAACAAAGGAAGGAAAAAAAAAAGATGTGAAAGCCTATATATTGAAGACTACCAAGTATTGCTGAGAGCAGTTAAAGACCTTTGGAATAGAGAATGTTCCCACTTGCATTTCAAGATTGCTTTTGTTTTGGGGGGACACTTGCTATTTTTTAGGAATATGAAGTTCTTCTTAGGCATTTCTGTAAAAAAGGCCACTTTTTGATAGGACTGTATTGAATCTGCGGATTGCTTTGAGTTGTATTTTTATCTTCACCATGTTACAACCTCCAACCCATGAACACAAGATGTCTTTCCATTGATTTAGGTCTTCCTTAATCTCCTCGAGCAATGTTCTGTAGTTGTCTGTGTACAAGTACTGCACCTTCTCGAACAAATTTATTCCCAGGCATATTATTCTTACAGGTGCTATTATAAATGAAATCATTGTGTCAATTTTCTTCTCAGATTGTTCATTGCTAACACAACTGATTGCTTGCTGAAAGTTTGCTGAATTCACTTATTAACTCTAGTAGTGTGTGTGTGTGTGTGTGTGTATGTATGTGTGTGGTCTCTGTGTGCATGTATGTGTGTTTGCATTTGTATGTATTATTTGGGATTTTCTACATATAGAATCACACCATCTGCAAATTGAGATCATTTTGTTTTCTGTTCAAAAATATTTTTTCTCATATTTATTTTTGAAAGATAATTTGGCCAGGGGTAGAATTGTAGGCAATAGTTTTTCTTTTTTTAAGTACTTTATTGCCAACTTCTTGTTTGTAAAGTTTCCTATGAGAAATCTTATGCCATCCTTATATTTAGTGCTCTGTATGTAACATGTTCTTTCCCCTTTTACTACTTTTTTCCTTTTGATCACTGATTTTGATGGATTTGATTAAGGTGTTCCTTGGTGAAGTTTTCTTCATGTTTCTTGTTCTTAGAATAATCATGTTTCTGTAATATTTGAAGTTTATGCTTTCCATGGAGCTTCTAAATCTTTCATCCAGTATGTTTTAAGTATCTTTGTCTCTCTTCTCCACTACACACCCTTCAGGGATTCCATTTAGCCCTATACTAGGGTGTTTAAAGTTTTTATACTGATGGTCTTTTTATGTTTTCAAGTCATTTGTGACTGTGTGTTTCATTTATGTTAGTTTCAACTTCTATTCCCTCTAGTTCAATAATCTTCTCTTCTGCAATGTTTAATCCAGTGCTTTCTTCCATTTCAGATTGTAAATCATAGATTTTATCTACAGAATTTGATATTTTAAAAAATCTTCAATCTCTCCATTTAATTAAAATATAATTATACTAACTGTTCTAACGTCCTTCTCTTTTATTTCCAACATGTGTGTCAATTTCAAGTAGATTATTAGAATCTTCATTGTGTGTCATGTTTTCCTGTTTCTTTGGCTGCTTGATATTCTTTTATTTTATTTATTTATTTTTTGGGATGGAGTTTCACTCTTGTTGCCCAGACTGAAGTGCAATGGTGTAATCTCAGCTCACTGCAACCTCTGCCACCCAGGCACACAAGTGATTCTCTTGTCTCAGCCTCCCAATTGCTCAGATTACAGGCATGTGCCCCCATGCCTGGCTAATGTTTTTGTATTTAGTAGAGACGGGGTTTCACCATGCTAGTCAGGCTGGTCGTGACCCCCTGACCTCAGGTGATCCACCTGGCTGCTTTATATTCTAAGATTTGATGCTGGAGCTTTAGTGTCAATGCTCAAAAGTGCCCAAAAACACCACTCGACCTCAGTGTCTATGCACACCCAAGCTTTTGCAACAGGAGAGGAAGAGAGAGCAGAGATGAGTGTGCTACAACATGCTGGCAAAGGGTACCCCAATTATGCTTGGGGCTTTCCTATGCCTCATGGAAAGATGTGCCTTCCTTAATTTTTCCCATAAGAACCACCCTACTTCATGCCCTGTCTCTCTGTCCAAACACCAGGACAGTCCTCTCACCAGCCTCAACTACCCAATGGATTGACAAACGTCCAAATATGACTCAGTGGAGAAGGCATTCTCTTGTCAACAAATTGTGTAGAAACAACTGGACATGCATATCCCCAAAGGAAAAAAATTCACCTGAACCTCAATACTCACTCAAAGGCTAACTCAAAATGGATTATGCAACTAAACTATAAAACTAGAAAAAGTACAGCAGAAAATATAAGACAAAATCTTCACAATACAGAGTTAGGCAAAGTGCTCTTTGTTATCAATAAACACAAACCATTAAAAAAAACATTGATAAATTCAACTTTATAAAAATTAAAAGTTTTTGCTCAACACAAGACAGTAATAAGAGAACAGATATAAGCTGCAGACTGGAAGAAAAACAGTGGAAATCACAAATATGACAAAGGGCATGTGTGATGGTTACTTGTACGTGTCACTGTGACCGAGCACCAGGTGCCGGGACATTTGGCCAAACATGATTCTGGTTGTGTTCCAGAGAGTGTTTCGGATACGAGTAACATTGGGATGGACAGACTAAGTGAAGCAGATTGTCCTCCTTAATGGGGGTAGAACTCATACAATCAATCAAAGGCCAGGAGAGAATTAAGAGGCCTAATGGGAAACAAATGCTTTCCTGGGTATCCAGCTTTCCTTCCATCTTGGGCATTTCAGCCTCAGAAGCAAATTCATATATATACACACACACATATACATTTCATAGGTATGTGACTAACGTTGTATTTTTAAAAGTTCAGCCATGAGATGATTGGTGAAGCTAGCCAATGAATAAGGGTGTGTTCTATTATATGATTCAGTCTTCTTTTGTACACAATTGAAGTTCTGCATTTGAAGTAGGAGGATAGGAGAGAGCAAGGCCACCTAGGATGATAACAGTTGAATTTCTCAACATACACTTCAAAGCCCTAGGGGTTAACTTAGAGAATCAAAAATCCCACCCACAATCCTGCCCCTAAACACCAGGGCTAGGGAACACCGTGGTCCTCAGGTGATTTTATTTAGCCGGGTCTGGGAGCCACACAATGGCAGAGGGAGCAGGAAACACTATGCAAATAGAGGCCAGGACAGCAGGGAGGGGCTGTTCATGACAGAACACAGGTAAAACTATCCTTGAAAAGTGAGTGTGGAGAAACACAGATCATGCCTGAGACCTGGTGGATTAGAGCACTGGCTACTGGGGAATTGAAAGGAAGGGGCTTCACCGTGCGGAGGACCAGAGGTGCCAATCTTGGAAACGCAGAATTGCTGGGAGATGGGGAGGCGTGGACAAAGGAAGCATCCTCTGGAGACTCGTGGTGAAGAGAACACATGAACGAAGTCACTGGCAGAAATTAGAGGTCCTGGTAGAACAAAATAGAATCCCACAATGAGAACACACACCATGTATGTCCCCCAAGGAAGACAGTATCTCCTAAAAACTCAAGCACCTCATATCCAGTAATGTGATCCATGTATCAAGATTGTGAGAAAAGATTATTAAACATGCTAAACTCAGCAAGACCTGAGTCGTTCATGAGGACCCTGTTAAGGATTAGTACCACTCAGCAAGTGATGACTGTGACATTCGCTTTTGAATAGCTCATGAACATTAATATATTTAATTGTGGATCTAAACCAAAAACCAAGGTGGGGACAAGATGACAATCACAGAATGTCACTGGTATATGTTTAGGTTCAAATACTATTATGAGAAGTGGCAGGTAAAGAAGGTAGAAAAAAAAACACATCATGTAATTGACTGTCGTATGGAAATATTTGACTTTGAAAGTTATAGTTTAAAACATATCAACCAAATATTAGAAGTGTGTCTAGTTCAAAGGGGGGAAAACTATCAAAAACATTTTTAGTGCAATATTAACCATGAGCTATACAACCCTTCCTAAATGCCAAAGGCACACACAGACAGACACACACTCACAAAGAATACAAATAACTAGAACCAAGAAATGTAGTAAATACATTCTACTACATATGGTAAACATAGCCTACCATGTGGAAGAGATTAGAAAATAAACAGGAAAATGAAAATGTTTTTATTAATTCGCATCAGTACCCATGAAAACCAATCAGCATAATAAAATATTCCAACACTGAATGAAAAACAGTCCGACAGTCCAGAGTGACGGGCAAAAGTTTTTAATTGTATAGATTAAAATTAACTTTGGACAAAAATTAAAACTCAGGCAGAGAATTTTTTTCAACAACAGACACTAGCAAAAACAAAGGCACAGTAAAAATTGAGACAGAAAATTTCCAGGGTAGAGATATGAATCTAATAATAGACATAGGCAGGGATGATTAATAAATGATAAAATGTTTAGAGCATGATCATTAGAATACAGGACACTTATATTTTAAAAACCACTTTCCCAAATACTTCATTATAAGGAAGGTATCTCTAAAAGGGACAGATCTCCTAGACCCCTCTTTAACCAATAACCTGTCCTGATATCATGATCATGGTGATGGACAAACTAGATCTTCTCTGCCTGCAGATGGGCTGAGGTTGGAAACTCACAGCATTGACTCTGCAGTGTTCCCAACAAAACGTTTAGGCTGAATTGAATCATGAAGACATTTTCAGACAACTTCAGAATGTAGATCATTGAGCCAAACAGCTGACCTGTCCTCTACAAACGAGTCCATGTCACCACAATCAATGACAACAACAAAAAGATGAGGAGATATTTTGGGTTCAAAATAACTGAAGAAATGTAGCTACATTATCTTTTTACTTTTTTTGAACCCAAAGTATCTCTTTTCCTTTGTGTTGTGTGATTCATGGTGACATGGACTGTGTGAAGGAGACAGGTCAGTTGCCCTGTTCAGTGTTCTACATTCTGCAGTTGTCTGGTGATTACCTCCTATGAAACTCAGGCTAAGCGTTTTCTGCAAGAACATGGCATTGTTCATATTCTGTACTGGCAGAGTCCTGGGTGACATGCTGTCTCCTGCCAGCGGCTCCTGACTCCTGTTCTCTACAGGATGGAATTGAGAGGAGCAGGGCTGAGGCCTCTCAATGCTGTTTGTCCATCTAGCTGTGGTCTTCCGAAGTATTCATAGCAATTGGAGGCTGAAGGACTGTGGCTTCTCTAACCAAAAGAGCCTAGTGGGTTAACAACTGTCAAGAGCAGTCAGTGGTTCTGAAATACAATCCTCAGCCAAGGATACCCTCCTGTGTTACAGATGGATCAGCTAAAACAAGCCAACACTGAAGATAGAAAGAATGGGGTTAGGTTCATTGAAACCAGGACACCACCTTTGGATGAGCTAAACACAAAGATGACACTAACCTTGAGCAGGTATAGAAGCTCAGAGACATGCCGGCAAAATGAAATCCCTGAGGAACTTTGTAGCTACCCAGAGATATGTGGGTATATCTTTCAAATTAGAATGTCTGACAGATCACTCCCGGCATGTGCTGCATAGTTATGTAAACGTGTCACACCTAACTTTGGTCCAATGTCTTCAGACTGAGCACAGGTTGCCACTGGCATGGTCTGAGAATAGGAATAGGGCCATGCCCACTGATCCATCCTATGTCTGGGCTTCCAAATGGAACTAGAGTTTCATTCAAGCCTACACGTGCCTATAGGTCCTGCCTGCAGCACTGACATCTCTCAGCTTAGTAAGGGCTGCTTAGTGTGGGAATATGACTCCCATCTGGAAGACCAGGTGGAGCCTTATCACTGTCAAAGTAAAAAACCTACTGTCCATGTCAAGGGACAAGCTAATGTGCTGTTCCTCAAATGAGTAAAAGGCACTTCTGTAGTGCTGAAATGAGTCAGGTAATTCAAAGTAAGTTGAAGAAGTCGAATAACATCTATCCAATGAGTCCTGCAAGACTTTAGGCTCTTCCACTTCCACCAGCACGCTGTTGAGCCCGGAAAAGGAGACAAAACTAAAGAAGCAGCCAGGGAAAATCAGACACCACAGAGCCCCAACTAGATTTCAGGGGTAACATGAGGAAGTGGTTAAAAAAGAAAAAGGATAGATCCATTAATGAGGTAAAACAATTATTGACTTTATGTTGGGATAGAACAGGGCCAGGTAGAAAACATTGAAAGAGAAAGACAGAGAGAGAGAGAGAGGCAGAGACAGAGAGAGACAGAGAGAGAAAGAGAGAGAGAGAAAGTGAGCTCAGTGAATTGGCCAGGTGACACACTGATAAGGGAGAAAAAGGACACTCTGAGTTGGTGCCCTCATGACACACAGCAAACAGTGATCATGAAAAGAATGAGCTCAATAGTTTTCCATAAAATGTGCTCAAAACGATGCAGTCACCATGAGAGTACAGCTTTTGAGGTATGGTCAACCTGTGATACGTTAGTAAATGATAAGGGGAGGAAGAAATGGAAACCTAAACGTCTACTGCAATGAAAACCAACAGCAATGTCAATAGGAGGAATTCAGCCTTCGCTGAAAACATGAAATCAAACACACTCTGTTTTCCCTGGATCTGTCGTCTCCAGGTATTAAGAAAGAATTAAGCGTCCACAATTGCTGAAAGTTACCTGGGGCATGGTGGGTTTTGATCTTCTTCCCCTTCTTGGTACTTTTCAATTTCTGCAATAAATTCAGACATGGACAGACACATTAAGCTGATTCCCCTACACACATACAATCCACTGTCTAATCCTCACACAGGGACCTCAGGCGCCTCAGCATGAGAATACAACACTGTGAGAGACATATTTCCAGAGGCCTGAAGGCTGGTCATGATAGAGATTCCTTGGTTTTTGTCCCAGAAACTGTGGGTAAAATGTCCCTATTCTGGCAGATCGTTATCCCAATATCATTTGTCACAAGTTTGTGCAAATGGTTATGCCATATTTTTCCAATCAATTTAAAGCAAATACCCTCAAAAGACTTCTAGGAGAAAAACTGCAATATTTAGCCCTGTCTCATCAAATACTCAGATTGTTCATGGTTGTGAGGATTTTAGACACTAAAATTGGAGTGAAAAAGGAAATCGACAAACCCTTGAGTCAAATCATAGTTCTCTGAATTTGTCACATCTGCCCAGGTCCAATGTCTTGAGAGTAGAATCAGAGTGACACAGGCATGGCCTGAGACTAGGAAGACAGCCATGCTCACTGACCAATCCCATGTCTGGGCTTCCAGGTAGAACTAGAGTTTCATTCAACCTACATGTGCCTACAGGTCCTCACTGCAGCAATGACATCTCTCAGCTCAGTAACGGCCACTTGGAGCAGGAATATGATCTCTATATGGAAGACTCAGTGGATCCTTATCACCTTCATAGAAAGGTACTCACCATCCACATCAAGAGAAAAGCCAATGTGTTGTTCCTCCAGTGAGTAAAAGAAATTTCTGTAGGGCTGGCAGGAGTCAGGCAGTTCAAGATAACTGGAAGGAGATGAATAACATCTATCCAGTGAGTCCTGCAAGACTTCAGGATCTACTACCTCCAGTAGCTCCCAGCTGAGACCGGCAAAATAGAAAAAGTAAAGAATAAGCCAGAGGAAATCAGACATAACAGAGCCTCAACTGGATTTCATGGGTAGCATTAGGAAGTGGTTAAAAAAGAAAAAGGAGAGGCGTGCCCAAGATGGCCAAATAGGAACAGCTCCAGCCTCCAGCTCCCAGCGTGAGCGACACAGAAGACGGGTGATTTCTGCATTTTCAACTGAGGTACCGTGTTCATCTCTCTGGGGTGTGTTGGACAGTTGGTGCTGGTCCACAGGTGCAGCCTGACCAGCGAGAACTGAAGCAGGCGAGGCATCGCCTCACCTGGGAAGCGCAAGGGGGAAGGGAATTCCTTTTCCTAGCCAAAGGAAATTGAGACAGATAACACCTGGAAAATCGGGTAACTCCCACCCTAATATTGCGCTTTATCAAGGTTCTTAGCAAACGGCACACCAGGAGATTATATCACACACCTGGCCCAGAGGGTCCCTGGCCCACAGAGCCTCCCTCATTGCTAGCACAGCAGTCTGAGATCTAACTGCAAGGTGGCAGCGAGGCTAGGGGAGGGGCGCCCTCCATTGCTGAGGCTTAAGTAGGTAAACAAAGCCACTGGGAAGCTCGAATTGGGTGAAGCCCACCACAGCTCAAGGAGGCCTGCCTGCCTCTGTAGACTCCACCTCTGGGGACAGGGCATAGCTAAACAAAAAGCAGCAGAAACCTCGGCAGAGGTAAATGCCCCTGTCTGACAGGTTTGAAGCGAGCAGTGGATCTCCCAGCATGGAGGTTGAGGTCTGAGAACGGACAGACTGCCTGCTCAAGTGGGTCCCTGACCCCTGAGTAGCCTGACTGGGAGACATCCCCCACTAGGTGCAGACCGACACCTCACACCTCACATGGCAGGGTACACCCCTGAGACGAAGCTTCCAGAGCAAGAATCAGACAGCAACACTCGCTGTTCAGCAATATTCTATCTTCTGCAGCCTCTGCTGCTGATACTCAGACAAACAGCATCTGGAGTGGACCTCAAGCAAACGCCAATAGACCTGCAGCTGAGGGTCCTGACTGTTAGAAGGAAAACTAGCAAACAGAAAGGACACCTACACCAAAACCCCATCAGGACTTCACCATCATCAAAGACCAAAGGAAGATAAAACCACAAAGATGGGGAAAAAGCAGTGCAGAAAGCTGGAAATTCAAAAAATAAGAGCACGTCTCCCCCTCCAAAGGAACACAGCTCATCGCCAGCACAGAACAAAGCTGGATGGAGAATGACTTTGATGAGTTGAGAGAAGAAGGCTTCAGTTGATCAAACTTCTCAGAGCTAAAGGAGGAACTATGTAACCAGAGCAAAGAAACTAAAAACCTTGAAAAAGATTTGACGAATGGCTAACTAGAATAACCAACATAGAGAAGTCCTTAAAAGAACTGAGAGAGATGAAAATCATAACATGAGAACTACGTGACAAATGCACAAGCTTCAGGAACCGACTCAATCAACTGGAAGAAAGAGTATCAGCGATTGAAGATCAAATAAATGAAATGAAGCAAGAAGAGAAGTGTAGAGAAAAAAGAGTAAAAAGAAATGAGCAAAGCCTCCAAGAAATATGGGATTATGTGAAAAGACCAAATCTACGTCTGATTGGTGTGCCTGAAAGTGACGGAGAAAATGTAACCAAGTTGGAAAACATTCTGCAGCATAGCATCCAGTAGAACTTCCCCAACCTAGTAAGGCAGGCTAACATTCAAATTCAGGAAATACAGAGAATGCCACAAAGATATTCCTGGAGAAGAGCAACCCCAAGACACATAATTGTCAGATTCACCAAAGTTGAAATAAAGGAAAAAATGTTAAGGGCAGCCAGAGAGAAAGGTCGGGTTACCCACAAAGGGAAGCCCATCAGACTAATAG